TTTTTGGCCCCCCCCCCCCCCCCCCAACTATACATGCTAGCTACGGGCCTGCTGGGTGCGCTTCAAAGGCCAGTTTGAAGCGATGGTCGACTCGCAAAGTGTACCATCGATAACTAAGTTCTCCCACCTTGAAGAGCTCTTGGAGCCAAGTATTAGAACCGCGATAGACTGCCTCCCGTTTACTGACGAAAGATACACTCGGGCCTACAAATATTTAGAAGATAAATGTGGGCACCCTAGCGAAGTAGCTGGTTCATATGTAGTTAGTGTCTTAGAATTGTCGACCATTAGTGAGAGGGACGTTTCCAAAGTACACCGCTTTTACTAACAGCTATTGCTTAACGTTGAGAGCTTGGAAACTTGATAGCCTTGGGAAACTTGATAGTATTGAAGGCACAACCTATTACGTGTTGCGCAAACTTGAATCATCAAAGCCGAACTTGTGACTCATGTTAAGACTGATTGGAGAGATTGGACATTCAAGGATTTGTTAGAATCGTTGAAAAATTGACGGAGACTAATCTAGTTCCTAAAGTTCCTAAACGCGGTAAATTTGGAAAAGATCCCTATAGTCCGTCCCCGGGCGGGTGAGCGTTTGGGTCACGCGATCATGAAATAAAATGCGTGTACTGCGAAAGTACAGATCACAGAGCCAAAACTTGTGACAAGGTGTTGACACCACTTGAGAGAAAGGAAATCATTGCCAAAAAGCGTTTATGTTTTAATTGCGCAAGTGGTCAACATCATGCGAATTCTTGTAAGAGTAAAATCTCGTGCCAACTCTGCGAAGGGCGACATCACACTTCGATATGTGAGAGTAAAAACCCTGATGAAACTAACAACGGTACAAGTTTCACAGCCAGTATAAACAAAACATCTGTAATCCATCCTGTAGTGTTAATTAAGATAAACGGACAGACATCCCGATCGTTGCTTGATAGTGGCGCCAGTCACTCTTACGCCTCATCGACCCTAATCGAACAGATTAAAGCGCGTCCTGTCAAAACTAGTACTCGCAGAATAGCTACCTTAATGAGCACAACTACGACTAAAGTTGAAGAATACGATTTGTCTTTAGAAGCAATAATTTTAATACGGAAATTTGTTCTCAATGCCAGAGTTACTAAAATAAACAAGCGCGAACTATTGACTTTAGATAATCCTAACTATGAACGGCTTTTAAGTGAATATGAGCACTTGAGAGGTGTTACTATCGATGACATGACCGATGATTAAGACAGGATCAAAACATTTCCATGATGCTTATAAACGCACACGAAATGATTTGAATAGATTAATTAAGAATACAAAAGCAATTTTCTTTACAAATACTTTAAATGACTGTGATAACAACCCAAAGAAAATGTGGAAAACAATTAATAAACTTACAAACAAACAGTCAAAAACAACTGTTATATCTGA